GATTTGCGTATCAGAGTAGATACTCCAGGTCGACAGTACGCATATATGCGCATGTACTACTTTTATTGTAATATAAATTCAAGTATACCTACTCCAGCGCACTGAAACCAAATTTCATGCCCTACTGTTCTATACTAAGCGGTGTAAAAACCCTAACTTTACTGAGAAACTCACAATTAGATCACCCCTTTTTTATTTTGGGTTTAGCTAACCTCGACATTAAGTTATATTTAATCGTATTTATATGGTAATAAACCGACCCTGTATATAAAATAGTACCGTAGAACTCTCTAGAACATCATGCGTTTGTGACCCTTTGATAAGGTAAGTAGCATATTCTTAAAAAATTAAGTGCTGCATTAACTTTGGATTGTCATACCCTTTTAGAAACGAAAAGAAAACAAACGTGATAAGTATAATTTGAGTCAAAAAAAACCTTCTAACAACGTAAATTTTTACCCAAACCCGAAAAGACGAATGATTTAAACAGCCCGTCATCCATCAGAGCCTTCTGTCGGCAATCTCTCACGGCGATCTTCATTTGTTTCCATTGCTTCTCTCTTTTTTGTTGTAGGTAACAAAGCATAACGATGAAACTGAGTCCCAAATCCGGATTAGGTAAGATAGGCAAGGAGTTTGACGACGTCTATGTAATGAAAATTATATCATGGGATCGACACAGATGTTGCCACCCTACGAATCCCCCGAAACAAACATAATACCATGCGATATGTTTTCATGAAGCAGGCGAACTCAATTGCAGTGCAACAATACTGGAAAATTCTAATTGTTTTGAATTATATTATTGTTTCTAAAAGGTTTCTGTTGGATAGCTTTATAATTTATGATACACCTACTTTCCCCATCTTATTCCATTGCAATTATTAAAATTATGGCTACTGATCTTCTATCAAGAACTTTAAAAATATGTAGAAATTAAAATATATTAAAATGTTTCTCGACCGATGCTCGGTGGCCAAGACTACGAACTCTTAGAAAAACTATTGAGACAGTCACCATACGAATAAAGAAAACATTAGCATATTCCTTTTCTTAACAAAACAAATTATTTTTAAAATCCGAAGCTGAGCGTTTTTCTGCTGTTTTTTAACCCTCGAAAGTATAAAAACGTTGGAAACAATACTATCAATTCACGATTCTGGGTGGCGAATAAATATTCATGAGATCAGGCACGATCTCTCGCCACCGTCCGTGTTTCAATAAAATACCATTTGGCAGCGTCTAGTAAACATCAGCGCGTACGCCAGGCGAATTTTTAATCGATCGAAGAATCAAAGTCCTATTTTCGATGTAATTTATTGGTAACTTCAAAGTATATGTCAAAGTATTTGTCATTCCTGAATTGGGATATACCTCAAAATTACGCAAGATTTTTTATTATCTGTACCAATACGCTTATTTAACATCTATTGATTTAAAATCCCCAGATATTTCCGATTAAGTGATTATACATACTAAGTTCTTCTTCGACCTTCAACCCAACTTTAAAGTGTCGACATTGTAGCAAAGACATTGTGTAAACATAGAAAATCCCTAGAACCATATCATATTAGACATTTTAGAAGTACTGAATGGATTTGACAAATTGTCATTATACATTTAGCTAACGCTTGCATAAAATATAGTGAATTTAAGCAGCTAGAGTTATTGAGCGGTGAGATGGAAATAGTGACCTGAAATGTGATATGTCACGAGACCGTTTTAGATCATAAAGGTCACGTTCCACATGAGAGATATTCCAGCGAGCTGTAATATTTATAATTACATTTTTAATAATAGAATTTACACAAAGTATTCGTTTTTCATATCAAAGTGTTGAATTATTCTGCTAAATAAGATTACGTCTTATTCGAAATTAAAAAAATCGTAACATAAAACAAATATTTTTTTGTAAATTACTATATAACTAACTATTATAAATAACTATAATTACTATATATAAATAACTATTTGTTTAGAAATAGGAATTGATTATAACAACTATAATTCAATCGTTTTTAAAATACACTTTACTTTTGAATGTTACATAGCAATTAATATCATATTCACCAAAAAGAAAAACCGTTTTAAAGCGAATGGATCAAACTTACTGACAACAACCGCTTTTAAACTTTTAAACGGCTTCTTAAAATAACTGTATTGTTTGCCCCTCTAATAGCCGTTTAGATAACAGTTTAATAAACAATCTTAAAATTTCTAAGCAAAGGCACGACGAAGCTTAATGCTGAGCCAGTGGACCATTACAAGTAATTGAAAAAAAAAACGGATGCCGTTTCCTGGATCAGCTTTGTAAGGGAATAGATGAACTTTCGAAAGTTGTTTGCGTTGTTTTAAAACCATGCCATGGTGCTATTTTTTTTATTTGTTTAAGTATGGTTATCTCTTAATTTATTTCATAAAGATAATGGTCTTATGGTTATATTGATATTGGTGGAAAGAAGGTTTAAAATTTGGAATGTCATTTGCGGTTACTTATAACAAGACGGAAACATCATTATTAACACTAGCTAACTACATGAACATGCCAAATATTTGCATACTTAACAGTTAAGTAAGTCGACCTTCCATGTTTTGCATTCGTTTGACCTATTTGAATGCATTTGATTTCGCTGTGGTTTGTAGTTTAAATTTATTTAATGTATGAATTATGAGCAAAACTTAATTCCAAGTTGTTGTCTGTTTCGGTTTATTTCGAATTGATAATTGTTAGATGTTAAACTAATGCTATAGAATATGGTTATTAATTGTTTCGTTACTGATTAATTAGTGTAGTGGTTACATTGAATTAGGATGTGATTACTGGGTTGATAAAAGTAATACTTACATTCCTAAAATATAAAGAAACCTAGTTTTGTACTCTATGTATTTAGTCCGTAATGGAAAAACCAGGATAGATTACACTGCCAAGGAACAAAATATTTGTCCACTTCGACGATAACCAGGAATAACAATCAATTTGAAGTGTAAGTAATAGAATCAAGTTTCATACTAAAAACATTGGAACCGAATCCTCCCACACAGCCTTCAATGACCTAGAAACGTTTCATTTTGGCATTACCAGACTGTTTGTTAATTGAAAGTTGAAGTCTAATTTCTTGTATTCTAGGCTATAAAGAGCTTAGTTACCTAACTTACAAATTTTCTTATCAGGAAACAAATTCACTTAAAGCCACGTTATACAAAATGGAACCTAAGTTCCTTCACTAAATTCATTAATTTTAAATAAGAAACCGAAGTAACAATATAAATTCTTAAGTGGCCGGAACGATTTCAAAAATTGCTTTTACGTGATAATGTTTGATTGTACGAAGTTAATCGAAAGCTCCTCGCGCACAACAAAACCTACATATACCTACAATTACCTTAACCTCTACCAGCACTTCCACATAAAACCGCCTCTTACTGAATTAACAAAACGATTCTCGCTCTTTTCTTTGGCTCTCGACTCCATTGTTGTTACAACTAGTTAATCAGTTGTGCCTCGATTCCTATTTCATCGAGTCTAGAGCACTCGATGATACTGTTTTGACATTCAGATTACGGACCGTGAGCTACAATCTGTTTGTCTGCGACGAGAACTGTTGAGTTTACGCTGCAAGCTTCTGAATATATGATGTTGAATCGAATCTCGTGCTGAGGAATATAGTTCAGTAATTAGCTGTGAGTCTAAATAATGCATTTTTTAATTCCACTTGTTAAATAGAACCTTAAAGCAGGAACAGTTTAAACCCAAACAATGTTAACTCTAGTTAGAGTTAACATTCTGTAATAATATAACACACTTTCCTATAGTAATAAAATTAGAATTTCTATCGAATTATAACACAATATCTGCATTTTATGTTCATTGTTTGTTTTGTCCCTATTTAGCTATATTCGTGTGTGTTTGTTTCTTGCGTCATTTGTGTAAATCAAATAAATCAGTACAGAATATGAGGAATTATTTAATATACAACGAATAATTTGAGAGTCAATATTGAACAATCGGAAATAAATTATAATGAATCAGATTATGATTATTACTTGGAAATAATCATTGTAAGCTGTCTTCTTTGACGTTAATTAATATTTAAGAATGCATTATTTACACTCTGAGGATTTTGTTATATGAAAAAACAGTAAAAAATTACTATGTATAGAGAAAACACTATTCTACTACGACGTAACCTTTCGTAGCAAGTCGTACCTAGCAGCGTAGCATTACGTAGCAAAGGTAGCATGTTTTTGACGGTAAAAAATATATTAGTTACCATGTGTTTATTATTGAAGCTTGGGCACATCGCAATTCACTGAAACTGTAAAGTAACACAACTGAAACTTTAAATTCATATTATTTATGTGTAATAACCACTTTGACAAACAAACCGACAAGCTTAATTTGAATATTTATGTCTAGCTAAATTATTTATACACAAAACTCGATCCCTCGCTTATATGGAGAGAATGAAAACTGAATGTTACTCCAGTAGTAGATTTGACTGAAGTATCGCAAATATAATATGCAATTTCATGGAATGAATTAATTCCATTTGGGACATCAATTTGTAACGACTGGTTTGTTGAGTAGTGCAGCTAAAAACATTTTTGATTTTTTAGTGGAAAAGGGAAAATAGAAAATAGATAAAAAATATATATGTATTTACGGGAACACTTTTCATAATAAGGTAATTAATTATCTTAAAGGTAAAAAATCCATTATTATGATGAGGCAAGTGTCCGACGGTCACATAGCCTATATTTTATGAATGTTAAAAAGATAACGTCGACGTTGCATGTTGATGTGTAAGGAAACTACTAACGGTTTAATATAGAAAAAAAAATACTAACTATATTACTATACTATTATTACATATTTAAACATAAACCCGGAATATTAAATTCATGAGAGGTTATCCATGAGAAACGTCCGGGCCGTTTGGATTTCAGTCGACTGCAGTTTCTCAGTTGATGGACAACATACAACAGACATTGCGTGTCACTTATACCAGGACCTTGTTTGAGGCATCTCTATCTCTATCTCTATCTCTATCTCTATCTCTATCTCTATCTCTATCTCTATCTCTATCTCTATCTCTATCTCTATCTCTATCTCTATCTCTATCTCTATCTCTATCTCTATCTCTATCTCTATCTCTATCTCTATCTCTATCTCTATCTCTATCTCTATCTCTATCTCTATCTCTATCTCTATCTCTATCTCTATCTCTATCTCTATCTCTATCTCTATATCTATCTCTATCTCTATCTCTATCTCTATCTCTATCTCTATCTCTATCTCTATCTCTATCTCTATCTCTATCTCTATCTCTATCTCTATATCTATCTCTATCTCTATCTCTATCTCTATCTCTATCTCTATCTCTTTCTCTATCTCTGTCTGTCTCTGTCTCTGTCTCTGTCTCTGTCTCTGTCTCTGTCTCTGTCTCTGTCTCTGTCTCTGTCTCTGTCTCTGTCTCTGTCTCTGTCTCTGTCTCTGTCTCTGTCTCTGTCTCTGTCTCTGTCTCTGTCTCTGTCTCTGTCTCTGTCTCTGTCTCTGTCTCTGTCTCTGTCTCTGTCTCTGTCTCTGTCTCTGTCTCTGTCTCTGTCTCTGTCTCTGTCTCTGTCTCTGTCTCTGTCTCTGTCTCTGTCTCTGTCTCTGTCTCTGTCTCTGTCTCTTTCTCTGTCTCTGTCTCTTTCTCTATCTCTATCTCTATCTCTATCTCTATCTCTATCTCTATCTCTATCTCTATCTCTACTTCTATCTCTATCTCTACCTCTATCTTTATACAAAGGAATCTAGAATCAGGTCAAGTCCTACGAATTAAACTGTAGTTAGCTAGTAAAAGTGTTGATGTGGAGCAAGCAGTCACGGGATATTTTCAACGATTGTACCTACTTTGTATATAAACCTGATCTGATGAATCTGGGATTACGTCGGGTATCACATACTTTCTCGCGTAAAAAGAGGGTCGGTAAAGTCGGTAAGATAGGTTAAGCACTCGTGAAAATTGTGATAAATAATTTACAGTTATTAATTAGGACCGCCTTCGTGAAGTCTGTTAACACGAAGGTCGGATTAATCGCAATTTTCATATAAACTAAACACCTTATTTAAATTTTTATAAAAATAAACTAATTCATCACTTTAATCGTGAGAGAGAGAGATTTACATTAAAAGATAACAATTACAATCAACACGAGTTAGTAAAAAAACGTTAAGCTAAAAAGTTGTTCTCTGTCGCCACTTAAAAGTCAACAAAATTATTTCCTTATTCAATCCGCGGTACAGTTGACGACAACCTCGTTACGTTGAATAATTACGGCAATGTGGAGGGTTATTAACCTTATCCCTGTGGTACAGAATGTAATGCTGTATCACATATTATAAACCTAGTAAGTACCTAAAAGCCACTTTTTTGTTAAAAAACTGAGCGTAAACCGTTCACAACAGGATTTTTTGACTTGTGATATAATAATTCTTGTTTTTTGTATAAATACATTTTGAATTTAAGTATAAAAATAATTTTTGGTTATCTTCACAAGTACAACACACAAGAAAATCATACTACAACGTTTCCGCGTCATAATAAAAATCTACATGCATTACTTTCAAGAGAAGCACCTTTTCTTCATATCAAATTTTAAAGATATAAATGGTGCGTTCCCGTTATATTACCCTGACTTATACTGACTGCAAAATGCTCCTCGGAATTTAACATAGCTCCCAAAGTTAAGAGAGACGACAGAATAACTCCATTCAAGAATTGATGTGGGCTTATAATCCCTCCCGAACTTTCTAGTTAATTAAAGAGGTGATTTTAGAGATAGATAACTGTATTGATATCTATAATTTAGCATCGTGTTACGCATTTTGGCCAGCAAGTTTTTTATGATGTTAGCGATTTTCTCTAGTTTAAACATGACAAGTATTAAAGGAATTTTCACTAAGCTGTAGGTAGTGTTTGAATAGGTAATCTGACTTGTTTTTCAAGATAGTCACAAAAAAATTTAGTAGTGATTGATCAATGTTCTATTTTACTTGGTGTGAGAATATCCTTTTGCCTAGTAATGGAGTAGTTACAGTTACCTACATACCTGAAGCCATTTGATCCTGGTGATGTTCTCATCAGTAAGAGTGAGCGCCCTCCGCTCCCCGAGCTTGTACGACTCATCGTAGTACATGTACTCGGTGAAGGTGAGCCCGCTGGTGGTGTACTGCTGCGTGAAGTATATCGAGATGGTGCCGTTCACTATATCGTGCTCTATTATCCACTTGCACTTTATCGGGACGGGGAAGGGGTTGGGGAAGTTTGGAGTAGTGATTGTACCCACGGGACCCTTCAAACGTCCTCCACAGGGCTGTGGTCCCTGATGCTCTTTGTCGATCTCATAGGCATGTACATACTCTGCTACGATTGTGACGAGAATAATAGTCTGAAGACATCGCAGCATGAGCCTGGAACAAGAAGACCAAGATGGTGTAAGATAGTTTTGTATGGATCACAATGCTTTAGGACAATAATACGTCAATAAATTAATTGCCAGTAAAAATCTCATAGGATTATAATACAGAACCACACACTCATCTGTTATTTTTTTAAATATTAAAAGTTTTGAAAGTTTTCCTAACGAAGAACTCAAAAGTCATTCAATGTAAACACATGCCAAATAAAGTTTAAGAGGATGAAATAGAAAGAAGAAGAAAAATATGGCGATCCGCAGTTGGGATCAAAGATTCAATCTCTACGTGAATATCCGTGACGCTAAACATATCTATAAAAAACACAGACTAGGTAATATCTTGACAATTCAATCTCCTTCCAAAGAAAAAACCAGATAATTCATTCCTAAATTTTTCTGTTTCAACTTTGGCTTTTTGGTCAACGAACAACATTACAAAGAAAAGTTTTTTATGAAAATAACTTAGCAAAGTGACGATGCTGTGAGATCCGTGGAACGATATTGAATTGGCCAAAATTTATAAGTGCCGGGAGTAGGTACTGTTCATTAACTACATAATATTATTTAGTCGGGCTCGAAGATATAAAAAAGAACCTTTCAATTATCCATATTTGTAAAATTGGCCCATTTCATTACACGACTACCAAAAAAAGTAGTGTTATGTTTTAAACATGTACATATGTATGTATGTGATTTAATTATTCTTTAAGTGGAATTAGGGTTTAATATCTCCACGAATATAATAAAGTTTTTCAAACGTCTTTTACCTCTTCTACGAAATATGATATATCTTTATATTACACGTAAAGTAAAAAAATTGCAGGGCACCATTAGTGCAGCAAAATAAAACAAATCGACTTGGTGAAGTCACGTCACGGAAAGAGCATCAAATATTTTCTACTACACTGTGTGACAGCTTGAGAATTTGATTCCAATTCCTGCAAGCAGCCATGTTCAGACGCTGTACGTATCTTAATCATTTCTCTGCAAACGGTATTTGGTTCGTTATGTTCCTTTCGTTGTTTACTTTATTTGTTTTTTAAATTGAAATCCCTTGCAAATATTTCATATCGTGTTTATACATATATACCAGATTTGTATCTTATCCAAAGAATTTAAGTAAACAGGATTTCAGTCTGCTGTGCATAACAATATCTGACTGAGATAACATAAGTATCTGCTGTTCTTTGTATTTCCTGGAGGGACAGATAGCAACGCATTTCTGTGTACTACATACCATTTTTAGTTTATGTTCTTCTTATATTTTTTCAAATAAATTTAGACTTACCGACTACGTCAAAAATCTTATTAAGACAAGACGACAATAAATAATGTTCAATGGCATTTTCAGATCCCTTTTTGGGATCAGGTCTAGTTCCAAAAAAATATTCGCTAAAAGCCGTCGATATGGACCAACGTACATTGTGCAACGCTGGGTTGACTCTAACAAAGCGCATTTGTCACTGCGACCTTACCCAAAATACTAACACACTCAGACTTTTCAAGTAAATAGAATATATTATTCTATCTACCAAACAGATTTTCCGTTCCATACATATTTAGTATCTTCCACGGTTCTTCAGTCATCAACTCAGTCCATTTTATTTTAGATTTGTTCTAGGAAATAGATATTTATTACCTTGAACTTCTACGATTTGTTAAACAGTCGCTACCGTGAATCCTCGTGAACCTCGTTGCCAGTTATGAAGTTAAGTGTAATTTGTTTTATGACTGACATTTTTCAAGTAAAGCGAGCTTTTCCAAGTTGTGTGCACTTTCTAAAATTATTTGAACACCACTGACATACGGTGAAGAAAAACCTGGACTTATAATTTCAAACCGCCAATACGACTTGAATAAGCACGTAATTAATGTGCATTGTTTCTCGGTTTATTTGCAGCGTGGTGTAAGCGACGAACAGCCTGATGATGAAAACCCTAGATAAAGTATCTTGTCGTGTTTTATGGTAAAAGCAATGTTTGAACTTGTGTGTGTCTAATAATAGTCTTTTCAATTTCAGAAAGCATGTAAATGGACACGTTTAATAGGTTTAATTTTATTGATTAAATAACACTTCTGAAGAGAATGAAACAAACAATAACACACTTTACGATAGTTGACGCACGAGTAGGTTTCCTTTCAACCGTTGACGTGTAATAAAGGGCCCATCACAATACGTTATCGATAAGGTTGTATTTACAAACAAATGTTTACCTTCGTGAACTCTACCAATCGAGTCACCAATCGCATGTTTACCCTCCGAAACTGGCCTTTCGGTCTATCTGGGGTTTACACAAGGAAAAAATGTGTTATTCTTATATAAGACAGAAGATTAATTTGTTGACTGAATGCAATGGTAGCCGACAGAGACGCCAAGATTTTCCAACTTGATGCGACGTTTTCAGTTTTATAATAGTGTTACGTGCCTGACGTCACGTTCCTGACTATGCGGGCTTGGGTTACGGGATTGGATAAAATTAAACTCTTATACCGGTTTTCAGACTTTCTATTGCACTTAAATGACAGTGTCCACCGAGTTAAGTTTTCGGCGTTCCTCTCCAGCAGAGTCCGGGCGACTGACACAAACTTCCGTTTGCCGCTCACAGTTCACGCTGACTTTCACTTAACTCACTGCACTTCACTATTTCACTCACTTTTCTTCTTTTTCACTTCTTCCTTTTCTACCGAATCGCTTTGGACTTAGAACTCAACTGCCAGCGGTGAGCCGCAGTTCCGCTTATATACCCCCGGTCAAGTTCTGGAACATTCAATTTCGTTATTCTTTTTGATCGTCATGCCTCCAGAACCTTCCAATAATTTCGTTATTCATTTTTATTTATTCTCCTTCTCGCTCTTTAATTTTTCATTTCTTTCACACAAATAATTCCAGAAAGTTCGACAAAACTTCCATCAACTAAAAAACTTCATGTTTACGGCGGGACTCGAACTCGGGGTCTCTGTGGTGTAATCCACACGCCTTACCGATTACACCAACTCGTGTTGACAATTCACGACGAAATTTACAATCTCTAGGCAACGTTTGACAACCATCCATTGACGTCATGATGTCAAAGAGTTTGAACCACTTTTCCGTCACAATAGCATTTCAGCGAAATATCTTTTGAACGCAGTTTTATATTTATATTATCGTGATTATATTACGGGTCATTCACGTACAGTCAACAAATTAAGATGGCCATTTCATTGAAATATACCGAAAATTAATTAATTTTAATCTCTATGTCAATATAAATATACACCAATATTATTATCACGTCTCTCAATTTCTAATTTCGCAGGAATGGTACTTTTTCTCAGCGCTGTTATGAGTATCATGTCCTTCATTGAGTATCATCACCAGCATAAAGTTTGTAGAAACTTCTGTATCAGACTATATCCGAATATAATAGTTATTCTTTTCTTTATTATAACAATAATTCATTTGAATTAAACCCCGTTGAGTTTCTTACTTTATTGTTCTTACCTACCATGCCACCCTGTCTCGAACTTTGAACAAAGAAATAAATACTCTGTATTTTGCTTGCCGGAATTCCGAACTTCATGTTGTTATTAAGCTAGATAATGTTATTACGGTATGATAAGTAGGGAAAAGTTCAGATTTTTCTCGTTAAAATTTTTATGAGCAAAATAGCATTTGACTTTTTATGAATAATTTATTAGGTAACTTGGATTCGCAATTAGGAAGCAGTTAATAAATAGATCAATCAAAACATTTGTCATCAATAATTATTCTGAACTAATTCAGTCTATTATAACCTTATTACTTTACATGATAAATGAGGGATACATGCTAGAGAAATTGGTGCGTACCTACATGAGATACAAGGTCTCAATTACCGCCATTATACATTTAATTCGCTCCGCTCCTTAACAAATAAGCTTGTCACATACAAATTCAGAGTACCATATAAACGGTGACGTCACAGTAAAGTGTCGCTCGTCGCGTTCCGTGGGCGCGACATTTACATATTCACTCACGTTCTTACCGGTGGAGATATGTACGGGTGTGTGTGGAACTACTAGATATAGGCGTCTCACGTAGAGCTTTGATGGATGTTTTTAGAATTTAGTTTCATATGAATTTATATGAGATATTTTACTGCTATAGCTTAAGATATATTTGGCATTCTCTATATGGTTTTCGTTGAATAAATTGGATTTAAAAATTGTACTGTTTAATAATCTCTTGTAGCAAAGAGTAATTTTCTTAATGTTTAGGATTACGGTATTATACATATAGATCTCTTCGGCGTAAAAGCGTATTATAAGTGCTATAAAAATAACACATGATTCTTTTTATTCTTATAAATTAATTAATTTTCAATAAAAAGAAAAGACAGCGTCACATTTGACTTAAAAGTTCTTCAGTTTAGTAATAACAAAATCTCCCGGAATAATTAACGTTTCTAAATATAAACTGATTATTTCTTTTCATAATTTTATTACTTTATACCACTTACATTCACTGTGAATTAATTAATATTTATAATTCTGAATTCTTCACTAACTTTGAATCTAATTGAATATTTTTTGACGACCTATATTTAGTTTATTCATTATATCTTGTTTTCATTTCATAAATTAAGATATTTTTCATAATATAAGTTTTATTTTTATGCGAATGTTGTGCACATCTATTATTGACAATTACACTAGAATAAGACCTATTAACTGTAAAATAACCATGTTTGTGTTTGTGTTGTTGATGTGGCTTAAATAAATAATATAATATATGTTCTGCCTTCTTTAGCATTATCCAGATATGAAGCAACCAAAAACCGATTACTTTTTGTTTTGTTTGCATCAAGAGATAAGATCGTCAGAAATTCTAGGTACTTGTACTATACGACTACAGTACAGCGTTTAAACAGAGAAAGCAAAACCCTATTAACATTTGGCTCTAGAGACGAATGCGGTGCGCTAAGGGTAAACAAGATACATACATTCTTTTTTATGACCCGCGACCTTAAAATCCACATGCGTACTCATTATTCACACTCACGCCACCTACTGTAAACAATAAATATTCCTTTCAGTTTCTATGTAGAATGTTCTTAGATGTGAATCTTTGCGTTTTTAATTCATACAACCCGTCTAATCTTCATACACCATTGATTTATCTTTGTGTTCACATTACGTCCAATCCCCTGTGGTATAAAGTGATCCATTCTACTTCCATTTGAAGGTGTCTCTTGAGGGTTCAGTGTGAGATGTTTACACTTTAACCCTTTCTATGCAGTGCATATTTGTACGTGTATTATAACATTCTCATAAAAGCTTTGGTACTGCAGGTATGTCTGTTGTGTCGGTTGTATCCGTCGTATCTGTCGTGACGGTCGTGTCGTATCGGTAGTCGTATCTGTGGTGTCAGTGATGTCGGGTTGGTCATGTTGGTCGTGTCGGTGTCGGGTTGTATCAGTCGTGTCGTATAGGCCGTAAGTATTAATCGTGTCTGTCGTTTCAGTCGTGTCGATTGTGTCGTGTCGGTTGTCTCATGTCGGTCGTGTTGGTCGTATAGGCCGTAAGTATTAGTCGTGTCTGTCGTGTCAGTCGTGTCGGTTGTGTCGTGTCAGTTGTGTCATGTCAGTCCTGTTGTTGGTGTCGGTCAAGTCGGGACGGTCTTCTTCGTTCTTCGGAACCTTCTCCACGTGGGAAAAGACTTTTGCTCAGCTGTGAACACTTACAGGCTGATGATGATGATGATGATTCCAAAAAGATCTAAGATGTCCTCATACGTCATTTAACATTGTTTTTCCACCAATGATGAGAGGTGTGACGTCACGTTACACGTTTTATATCCGTAACAAGCGAACTTCTCGCTTGTTACGGACTATACATCGACTATACATTACTCTCTGCACTTCGTTATGCTTTTTACTGTGCACTCAATTGGCCGGAACACAATGCTTCATATTTCAGCAAGATAAAGTGTAGCCTGCCGCACTCATGAGAGTTCCCTGCTCGCCTGTACATCCAGCATCGCGTATACGTAGCTTCCTGTACACGGAGCGCGCCACATAATATGCATAGAAATGCTCTATTTTACACTTTCCATCGATTTGTAACAAATATATTCAATATCTGCTGATCTCGTGATAGATTTAACGTTGTTATCCTTAATGTCTTGTGCATGTGCTACCATTTCTCAATATAATGCCACGATTTTTGTTGTGAAGACGGTATCCGGAAATTATTGCTAAATGATAATGTAGAGGGATGAAATAAAACTAAAGGTCTGGCCATAAAGTGATATTATTTGCCTATTTACAGTTAACCCAATTTTTCAAAGAAAAATGTTCTTATCAACAAAAAGCTCTCTAAAACATTACTACAATAACGATATTATTATTATAATAAATATCATTGTTTTGTTAATAGTACATGTTTATTGTTGTAAATAGCGTCAGGAATAAAATAAAGTTTTCTTGCCCTTGTTGATTTACGAGTCCCAATTATTCCGAACCCTTCGTACCAACAGAACTTGTTCAGTTTACTACAAAAAATAGTAAGGCGCGTAAATAAAGAATCGGAACAAATATGTTGCGAACATCGTGATAAATCTGCGTGTGATTGTGTGGGCCGTAGTTTCAAGTAGAAAAAATATTACGATTAATTGAGTGTTGCTTGTAGGCAGGCTGCGAAACTTTCTTATCTTCTTTGTTTTTCTTGCTCCTGGCATTTTCCCAGCCAGTTCTAGGTCAGAAGTCAACCTACCTAACGAGATTTGGTTGAATGCTTGGTACAGTTGTGTACCAAAAAAAGCACATAAAGCTTTGATAGGTGTGCGATAATTTGGCTTGACTATGATATGAAAAATATGTAAAGAGCCCAACTTACAAGTTTATCATGATTGACTTTGTATATTCAAATGTAGGTATTATAAATAGCTTATCCTACAAATGATCTTCTTCAAATAATCAAATTACATAAACCAAAGCACCAAGATAAAACTTAAAGTCTATCACAAAATCCAGTTTCCCCAAACAAAAGCGAGTACTTCCATCATGCTTACATTTAACTGTTATCTCCGTCATTTGTTCGCGTTAATATTTTGCCAACAGGAATTTCATTTGAACGGAGACGTAAAAAACTTTACTTCGAACTCATTAAGGATTTTAATTTTCTGTCACAATTATACCGTCCAGTAGTTTCGTTTTTCGTTTATTAATCTCTTGATTTAGTTTACCAGCAGCTAACGAGACCGCACTAATGAAAGGGTGACCGCCATAATCGTAAAAAACTGAATAACACTTAAAGCCGTTCATTTGTGAATGTTTTAAGACTTGACTGTGGTCCGGACTACGTTCAAACAAGAATGGAGGTCTGGAATTCATTGTACCTAATATTGTTTTATAAAGTCTGTCATTTTTGTTTGCTAGCAATGTCCATGACCGGGTTAACAATATAGGAAATACTAAAATTACTATCTTTTGTTTGCTTTTTGTTTCTAAATGTGACCAAAGCCGTATAGAGTGGGTTGAAAATAATGCGTGCTGGTTTCTTGTGTTTAAACAGTTTTGCTTTAATAAATTTTAATAATACTTGGCAATAAATTTATACCGATGTTTATATTGAATTCTAAAAATATTACCTCACATTTTTGCAGCTTGCCATATGTCTAACTTTTAAATTCCCTTTTGACCTAAATCTCGTTGTCTTAAATAGACAAACACTTTTATCACCAAAGTTCAGTTTACGATTGGCACAAAAATCGCCAACTGAGATATCCATTCTTCCAGTGTTTCGAAGATAACACGTCAATGATCAGAGCTCAGTAAACGAACATGCTGTAACGGTTTCAAACATGGCGACGTGTTTATGTTTCGTTCCCAATTTGAATTTGGTTGGTGCGTTTTGGAACAAATGTAGATTGTTCCTCGATTGTAGATTCCGTGTGATTATTAAGTCAGCAATACACATACCTTGAACAGATTTTGGCCGTCGCATGTTTTTTTTATTGAAATTTTTGGTGGTGAATAGGTCAGCTCGTCCGGAGTGTTTGAAACCGGCGTGAAACAATTATAGAATCGTGTTTCGCCGTGTGATTGAGGCCACCGGAAGCCCAGTCCTTCCCCTCCACCATCAATTTTTATTCAGATATATTTGATGTCACTAATTTATTATAGCTATTTGTAAAAGCACTGCCAATGAATAATTATCAAATGAAAACATTGTTATTAAAACTAAGGACTGTGTTGCACTTTGCTCGCCGATCGTACTAATGAAATTCATTTACAAAGTTTTGTAATACATGCAAAAAAAAGTTGAGTGTATCTCATCGACCCGTTTACGTCACTACACTTCAACGTCAAGTGAATTGACCTATCACTTGATGAGCACCACGTTGGCATCAGAGATTCAGAAGTTAAATACTTATTTACAAGTATAATGTAGTCTTCTTATAGTTACAAATGTTTTAAAAATATTCATAGTTACGGTGAATTTAATTTAAATTAAAGACCAAATTAGCTTTGTTTCAATCAACAACCAGGATTTTACAGTGTTATAATTTGTGGTTAGATACCTAATTAGTAATGGGTAGATTCACAGCTAGTATCTAATTATTGTTGTAAGTTTATCTGGACATAAATAGCTGTCGGTTTTCCGCAATCAGCTCATTGGTATCCATTTTAATGAGCCGTACCTAACCCAATGTTGTAATTTTGGAGATAAAATTGTTGCTAGATAAAGTTTTACAATGCCCACTTCAGATACAACTATGTATGGCTTTCTTAGGCCTATATCCTATTTTTGTTCTACTGTTTATTTAAGACTTTTTGAATAAACATAGAATATCGCTCATGAGTAATTTTGCGTTGGTTTTTAACTGTAGGTAAAGATTTTTTTTGGCAGGTGACAATGACACGTAGGCAACTTGAGTTGGCTAATTGAAATAATTTTAAACTTTCTTTTCTGAAATTAAACATTGAAGTACATCGAGAAAGAAACTGCCTCAAATTACATGCGTAAAACTAGAAGGTACAAAGTCATTTCATAAAATATATAAAGTTCTTGAGGGTCAAATCAGGGAAGCAATTGCTTTATTAAGTTTCAAAAGAAAAACTTTTGAAATAAGACCTTTTTTCCTTCCTTAACTTTATTACCATAATAGGGGCAAACCTAGTTTGACAGAAGTGTTTTGTAAAAATTAAATCCTCCTTGGATCCCTTGAGAACCCCTCTAACAATCTTTGGAATTATGGCTGAACGTCTCCCAATCCTCTCCCCATCTCTCCCCAAGGCCGACAAGGCATTTCGAACTCTACGTGGTCCATGGGCGACGCTGATTGCATACCATCAGGTGATATATACTATGCCATAACCTCATCGTTGCATAGTTTCTGAAATCTGTTCAATTTCATTCATTTTAATTTCATCGAACACTTTTTAATGAAAAATAAAACACGCCTCGGAGCATTGTTGTGAAATAAAACACAAAAAGAAACGATTGTGCAATTATTGTTTAAATAAAGTATGAACTTTTTTTGCTTGACTAGCTACTGCAAAATGATTTGTTACCATCGTCGTCGGTTTGTACAAATTATGTAAGCTTTTTACATTATAAAATTCCTAATTGCACGATGGTGTATGTAATTTGTCTTCTGGTTATTCGTTCGCATCATACTTATTATAGGGTTTGCAATATACCTTTACAGGCAAATAAACTAAAGCATCTGCTCTAGATGTGAAGACTATGATGTTACACTTCATACTTTATTTAAAGCGGCCCACTTTATAATGTAACATATTGAAATGTTATGTAAGTGCATTTAATACATAAAATTTATGCAAATGTTTAAAGGTCGCATTTACGTTTCATAATATAAAGCTGTTTAATTTGTCAGTGACTGCTTACCAAATTGCTGACGCGAGCTGTTGCTGCCGCCGACACGGACAATGTTTGTTAAAAATATATTAAAAAGCTAAAAAATACAAATGGTATGGCATGGATACAAATTGCCGAACGCAAAAAAACGGTACCTTCTATCGCACAAGGATTATTACAAAGCCTCGGTAATGCATTAACACTCAATATAATCAACTGTTAAATTAATGCGACGATGACGCAGCCAGCATTAGTAGACACTAAAAGCTAGCTTTTTATTCGAAGCCTTAAAATAAAAGAGATCGAATATGAAACAACGGATTCTGCAAAAAATAGATCCCGGTATAGGTTATTGAACCTGGAGAATGTAACTTTTATCGGAAACAGATGGCGGAAACACTGTTATAGTTTTTTAGTGTAGCATGTCTCCTTACCTAGACCGTATACTAAGATCAATACTAAACTAGACTAACCGTTGTTGTACATTTAATAAGTAACGCAAGAGAAACACTAGTAACATGAAATTAGACAGAAACCTTGCAATGTCGCCTGCAGGCGGCGTGAATACATTAATTTATATTTCGATTAGTCTCGCGCCCTCCAGTCTAGCGCCTCACTCTACTCCCGGCTAATTGCATCCCGCGAGTCATTAAGTAAGTATAGCTTAATAAATAGCAATTATTACACTAATTGAATAGTTTTCTCCTACATGATAAATGAAATTATTGTATATTGGAGACCGTGGATTTTCTTGTTGGGATTGGATTAAGGATTCTATTGTCTTTAATGCTTTTTGAAAATGTTATCCAGTGATTGACATTGAAAGTTATATTAATTCGGTTGGCTTAATAACTAACTTTAGGTCTCTTTATAATATGCAGCGTGATTCTGTGAGACTTCATTCTAAACTTCGAA